ATAATAGGCTAACATAATAAAACAAGAGAATTCTTTAAGATCGAAACTCAACGTCATTAGGATTAGAGTAGGAAATCTCTTATACGACTTCGGCTTGAGCTGTATCATAAGTGTGACCATCGTCCATTGTCCTATCAAGATCATCGTAGTTACTTTCAGCTAGACCTCTCGGTTCTAGGGCTAGTGGTTTAGATGGTCCTGAAATGAATTATATAACATAATATTACATAACATAACATAACATAACATAACATAACATAACGTATTTTAAGGTAATGTAAGGTAACGTAACGTAACGAAAGATAAGGTAATGTAACGTAACGTAAGATAAAGTAACGTAACGTAACGTAACGTAGTGTATGGTGTGCTCAGAAGGAAGGACATGCTCATCCTCTCCGAACACCTGTTATTCGGTTTGTCATATTTATTTACGTGTCTTTCAATTCTATAAGATGATTATACCAATGATATTCAATTGGATATGATTTGAACATCAGTATTACATTATATGTAAATTATATAACAGGAAATGGTTTTAGGGCGAGTCTTAAATATTTTGATGTACAAGGATATAGAAGATTGAATAGCGGATCTACTTCAGTCTCTTTATTCAGACTGAAAATACGTCAGATTCGTCTGCAATAAAAGTAATGTTAACATCCAATGGTAAAATCATCAATAACGTCATACTGTTAGTAATATCGGTTTGGGATATTGTTATATTTGCCCTACACTGCCGTCATTTCCGATCTAACGAACTTTCAATGCAAACGGGCATTAGCTTTTATTTTGAAAAGTGTTACAGATAAATATGATGGTACTCTATTGATTGATAAAGAAAATATCTAGATGACAACATCCCTTCATTTCTTATACATGATACAAACCTTGTTTAGCATGATCTTGTTTTCATTGTTTATACATGATACAAACCTTGTTTAGCATGATCTTGTTTTCATTGTTTATACATGATACAAACCTTGTTTAGCATGATCTTGTTTTCATTGTTTATACATGATACAAACCTTGTTTAGCACGATCTTGTTTTCATTGTTTATACATGATACAAACCTTGTTTAGCATGAGCTTGTTTTAGTTTATTATACATGATACAAACCTTGTTTAGCATGATCTTGTTTTCATTGTTTATACATGATACAAACCTTGTTTAGCATGATCTTGTTTTCATTGTTTATACATGATACACACCTTGTTTAGCATGATCTTGTTTTCATTGTTTATACATGATACAAACCTTGTTTAGCACGATCTTGTTTTCGTTTATTCTACATGATAAAAACCTTGTTTAGCACAATCTTGTTTTCGTTCATTATACACGATAAAACCTTGTTTAGGGCGATCTTGTTTTCGTTTATTCTACATGATAAAAACCTTGTTTAGCACAATCTTGTTTTCATTGTTTATACATAATACAAACCTTGTTTAGAACGATCTTGTTTTCATTGTTTATACATGATACAAACCTTGTTTAGCACGATCTTGTTTTCATTGTTTATACATAATACAAACCTTGTTTAGTACGATCTTGTTTTCATTGTTTATACATGATACAAACCTTGTTTAGCACGATCTTGTTTTCATTGTTTATACATGATATAAACCTTGTTTAGCACGATCTTGTTTTCATTGTTTATACATGATACAAACCTTGTTTAGCACGATCTTGTTTTCATTGTTTATACATGATACAAACCTTGTTTAGCACGATCTTGTTTTCATTGTTTATACATGATACAAACCTTGTTTAGCATGATCTTGTTTTCATTGTTTATACATGATACAAACCTTGTTTAGCATGATCTTGTTTTCATTGTTTATACATGATACAAACCTTGTTTAGCACGATCTTGTTTTCATTGTTTATACATGATATAAACCTTGTTTAGAACGATCTTGTTTTCATTGTTTATACATCATACAAACCTTGTTTAGAACGATCTTGTTTTCATTGTTTATACATAATACAAACCTTGTTTAGAACGATCTTGTTTTCATTGTTTATACATAATACAAACCTTGTTTAGCACGATCTTGTTTTCATTGTTTATACATGATATAAACCTTGTTTAGCATGATCTTGTTTTCATTGTTTATACATGATATAAACCTTGTTTAGCATGATCTTGTTTTCATTGTCTATACATGATACACACCTTGTTTAGAACGATCTTGTTTTCATTGTTAAATTGTTAATACATGATACAAACCTTGTTTAGAACGATCTTGTTTTCATTGTTAAATTGTTAATACATGATACAAACCTTGTTTAGCACGATCTTGTTTTCGTTTATTATACAGAAACATCACTAGGATCATGGTGTTTATCAAAACCAAGACACCAACAACACAGTTTAAAGCTATCAAGTTGTTGTTATTGGTGCTAGAGATTGGTAGTTTACCGGCAGGTGACCTAAAGGTTGGTGGTTTAGTTACTGTCTGAGGATCCTTGCTGGATGATGATGATGATGGTGATGACAGTGGTGATCGAGTGGATAGTATTTTATCTGATTGACGTGGGGATTGTTTCGTAGACGTTGTCTGAGTTGAACTGGTTGTTTGCTGATTTGTTCTTTTTGACGGATCTGAAATTTACACATACAGCTGTTTGACTTATAGGGTAAGAATGAATTGAATATAAATCATCGTTATCTGAAGTTTCATTAATTTAAACTACGAAATTACAGTGCTAATTAAAAACTACAGGATTGACATCCTTCGATAGTTCCCGTAGAGCTGAATGTTTCACACTTTCACATTGGATAGTTAGTTTCTGACGAATAAGACAAGTGCTTACCAGTGGGTCTAATTGTGATGTTGAGTACTTCAGAACGTATTTTGTAACTTGTTAATAAATAAAAACAATTCCACTGTACTGTTTGTGGACTTTTCTCTCCACTAAGAACTTTTAATTTAACTATTAAGTAACCCCCTTCTCTATATGATTCACATTTATATTTTTTGTCTCTGCTTTTTGGTATGTCACATGTTCCATTAGCCACACCTATAGCCCAATGATTGTTTCTTTGAAACCAAAACTTAGAATAAATAGTTTGACAGGTAACAGCATACTCTTCTCCTTGTGATACAGTTTTGGGGTGAGCCCGAATAGATATACATTCTACAATAAAAATATAAAACAAAACATTGTAATACAAAATAGAATTGATTCACGAGATATATATTTCTTTCATAACTCAAATTATTGCATTTGGTCCCATCCCGGCATAGATCGAGAAAATACCTTCTGTATCAGTGATGTAGGTCAGAGGGGCTGACACGGAACAAATGGTTCTCTCGTTCGGATGGTACAATAAACCGACGCTCCGTGTTTTACAAGTGATATACTTTGAAAATATTCCCACAATCAAAACGAAAAAAAGAAATGGCAGGAGTAAAACAGCATGTCATTTTTTTACAATTTAAGAATTCGAAGGACATTTCCCAGTATGTATGCACCGTGACCAAATGGCACCCTCATTCGTCATACTTTCACCATGCTTATAACAAGAGTAAGACAATGTCAAGACCCGTAAATAGACGATAACAGTGGCGACACCAGTGGGGGTGGAGGGTATTTCCCTCTAGAAAAGTCGTTTGCACCCCAATTTATTATCACAAATTTGAAAATATGATTTTTATACGTATTTGAGCCAAAATATGTGTAATTTTTCGACAATTTTCTTGTGAGAACCATCTCAGACACTCCATGAGAGGTTTGAGGCTATGACGCCTCCACAGACTTTCCTCATTTTGAATTCAGTGTTGTCCCCCTATTGAGTCAGACTGTCCCCTGTTTGTACCCCAGTCTCTGGATGATTCACACTAATATCGCACTATACTTTTCACTACCTGTAACATTTATTAGAAACAGAAACAAAAATCAAATTGAATTCATTAAAATCAGTCAGATTGGGATAGTCAACTTACTTGATACACCATCCTGTATCCTTATAACAACCAGATAATACAAACAATAACTTACTTGATTCACCACCCTGTATCCTTATAATAACCAGAAAATACAAACAATAACTTACTTGATTCACCACCCTGTATCCTTATAATAACCAGATAATACAAACAATAACTTACTTGATTCACCATCCTGTATCCTTACAATAACCAGATAATACAAACAATAACTTACTTGATTCACCACCCTGTATCCTTATAATAACCAGAAAATAAACACCAAGATAAAAATACATCATTTTATTGATCTGTTGTCAGCACCACGATTCAAATATAAATAATTATTAGTATGTGTCATAGAGTACCGGTAACAGAAAAAAATGTCAAGGATATATCAGGAAATTAAGATCACACTCGGAAGATATGATTCAAAATAGAAATATTTATGACGGGAACTGTACGACTGTGGATAGATCCTCCTTCAAATTATTAGGCAATAAATTTGAAAGGAACAAGAAAACAAGTTTTAATGGACAAGCTAGTCAAAACAATGAATACACAACAATTACACAAAAATACTACATAATAGACACAACTAGTTTGTCAGAGAAGATGCTGGTCCGGATCCCCAACAACCCCTCCCCCCTCGACACTTTAAATTTTTAGAATTTCCTGTGCTTTCCTAGAAAATCTTGTGGTCCCTGCCCGCCCCCTAATTTGTCCCCTGATTTCTCCAAGATACGCCACTAAGGCGATGGAAATGCTAGAGCCGGCATGACAATGACATTGACTAGGGTAAAAACTCTGGCCATGAGCTAAGGGAAGTAACTCCTTTTATCAAAATAGTAATTTACAACAATAAACTAACACTACGTTAGTTAAAAATAGAGCTGATTTAGTAGGCGGTGTAGTATAATATATTTATGGTTGTAATTAGTCAATAAAATAGTTCGGTTGAATGATTTTTATTCAGACCACAGTAATCCTACCTATTCCAATTTCACTTTACAATTTCCATACCAATTTGATGTTGAGTTACTAAAGAACAGTAATTCATTTTGAATTATTTTATTTCAGACCACAGTAAAATGATTTAGGACAATGATGGCAAAATTTACAAATCAATTCTGGAAGCCGAAGTGGCTCAGTGAGTTAGACATAGGTAGGCCATTGGCCTGAAAAATCCCCGTTTCTGAAACTAATACCCCTTTTACACTAGGCCCCGATAAAGAGAGCCTGGCCCGGATCTGTGCCTGGCTCCGATCAAAACGTCTGTTTACACTGGTGTTCTGTGATCTGGGCCAGGCCCACTTTAAACCAAAATAAGCGTGCGCTCTCTAATTAAAAAGATTACAAAAGGTCCACGAGGAGTCAAAATGGCGGACAATAACAATAATTATAATGGCCGCCGATACGGAAGTTGTAAACCCTGCACATGCGCAGAAGAATTTTTAAACGGAATTGTAAAGATGTTTTCTAATTTTGTATATGTGTATCGGAGACACTGATAGCATCAATTTGCATCATCGGACGTCTGCTGTACCTGCAATTCCACAAAATAAGTGTTTGATGATGTTATAAGTTGCAAAATATGCTTCATGACGTCATGAAACACTTGGATTAAGAGGAAAAGGTGAAAGATGAAGATGAGGCGCTGTGATATCTTTGGCTTTTGGTGTTAAAAAGAGAGACAAATGCTTGAGTTAACAAGGAACAGAATTTTCCAAACGGTCTATCGTGAAAGTTTAACTTTCCGTCTTCAACAGATGCAGCATTCGGCAATCCTCAGAAGTTTCCGTAAAGTTATGCTACAAAGCACTAGCGGAACTTAACCGTTTGCATTCGGCAATATTCGGCAGTTCCACAAAACTATGTAGACCCTAGCGGAACTTTCACGCCAGACCGTTTACACAATCAGCTTTACGGAAACTTGGGAGATTTGCCGAATGAAATTTCTAATGAAAATTGATATGATCATTTTATTTTCTATTTTTTATGACATTTATTTATTACAGATTTTTTTCGGCCTGATCACTTACTTTTACAATAACACCGACAACAACCATCCGACCAACAACCAGCGTTACGTCTACAGCCAAACAAACGCAATCTACAACCAGCGTTACGTCTACAACCAAACAAACGTTTTCCACGACCAACTTAACTCTTTTCTGTTCGGTCTGCGTTCATTTTATGGAATAGTTTTAACAAACATAAAACGAAATAATAAAAATCCAAAGTTATTTCAAAATACTCACAACTTGCTAAGGCTGTCTGTTTCTAACCTTTTCAATGGCGGCGCCAGCCTCTCGAGACTGGGGGTACAAATAGGGGACAGACTGGCTCAACGGGAGGGGGTGCGGGGGGGGGGGGGGGGGTGGTTCCAATGTCCAGGCTGAATTTAAAATGCC